CACGCACACGTCGTGAAAGGTCAGCGACAACTCGAGGAGTCGTGTCGCTGCTTCGGCAGTTACATTGGCGTTGCACTTGCCTCGCTTATCGCCTACTTTTAATGACTTGACGCTGGGAGAAGAGTCGCTGATGACATCACCAAAAAACCCAACCTGATCGGGTTTCTACCTTCATACTTCACCTATGTAATTCTCCTGAGCCTGGTAGGGTGGAGGAACGCAACACCATGAGCACTTGAATAGGGTGGTATGGTCCATAACAGGAGAGATTTAGTAATAATACGATAAGGACAGTGATACTGATGAAGGAGAAGATACTTCGACCATACTCACGTGGCTGTAGTCATTCAATGTGGCTCTAGACACGTGAGGGTACTCCTGATGTGGTGGAGGTGTGGTATGGGTCTACAATACTGGCGTGTTACATTGACCGTGGTGCCAGACTAACATTGGGCTATCCTCCCATGCTGAGGATATCGGTACTGGTATAAGGTTTTGCTAAGAGATAGCATATAACATTTCCGTGAACGGCCATGAGTAAGGACCAGACCCGACCCCTCATCCTTCCCCTTCACCGGGGTCAACAGTTCCCGGCAGGCACGCATACCTTTGGCAGATATGCTCTTCCTGAGGATTCCTTCCCAACCATCAATGATGTGTTCGATCTAATTATAGACTCGCAACAGCAACAAAATCGATGATGAGAAGAGATACTACAATAAGCATGCATGGTCATGTACACGACGGCGTCGGATAGCCGTAGAAAAGACTACTGCTTTCCGGGATGACCTCCCGTTTCCGCTCCTCTGAGGTTCAGCGTTCACCTCATACACATAAGGAAAGGCAGCAGCCCTAACCCGTAGTGGTGAATCCATCTCTGTAGAGGTAGGGGAAAGTAGGAGTATTGGAAGTGGCGATATTACGAAAGTCCACGAGGGACATATCTTGAAAATCTTAATTATGGGAATGAATGAAATCATACAAGTATGGGAACGTGCGACTCGACACCACAATGTTGTCCCCTATATTACTATACACATAGGGAAACTGTTTACTAAAAACCTCGCCAGCATCCATTCGTTCGGGGTAGAGATAGGGGAACTCAACAATACGGTTAGTGCGGATTTTGCTACGCTCCGCTGTTGAATTGTCACCACTATTCCACAAATTACCATAGTGCTGCCTTGGTATTGCCCCTCTATAATGGACTGTTTGTATAGCCTCATCCCTCTTCTTCCTCTTTCCTCCTCCAGACCCTACACCAAGCTGAACCCTTCTTGGTAGTGGGGTGATGACCTCACTAGCCCTTGGAGGCACCCCGGCAGGCGAACGATCAAAGCATTTTGCGCAGAAGCCGAACATTTTAATGAACTACCAAAACATGTTTATACTAGCATCCACCCAAATTGACGCAAGAAGAACCCAGTGGATAGTGGAAGTCACACATCATCATCATCACCATAAAGTAAACCTTTGGGGGCCCTTCGTCGACTACCACCTCCGACCGCATCCCGCTGACGCTTTCTGTATGGTCTCATGTTACTCAATGGAGGCTGCTGCTGACAGGAGGGGGGAGATTTCCATTATGGCGATGCAAAACAGGAGTTGGAATTCATGTTTGCTCAACACTACGTTATGGGAATCTACACACGAGGTGTAAGGAAAAGTATATAAAAACCATTTTAAGATTTTTCAGACTTTCTCAAATTTTCATTGCCAGACACATTTTTCTGAAAAGTGTCAAGGAAGGCCTACACAGTTCTGCCTCCTCAACTCCTTGGAAAATAAAAACTTTTTTCCTACCTTGAAAGTTTTTTTGTGGAAAAAATATCACCAGTTCCCACCTGAATAGAGTGTCCTTGTCCCTCCCTATCGTCTCCCTCCTCAGCCTCTAGCCTTTCTTTGCCTATCCTCAGGACCTCTTCCAGCTGCTTCCTCTTCCGTATCTTCTCCCTTGCCAACTCCAATGCACCAGCTTGCAATATATTCATCTTAGCACTGTCTCCATTGACATCCTGTTCCTTCTCATGAATAACCTCTTCCACTACAGGATGCTGGAGAGCGTGCATCAAATATGGTGATGCCTCAATGATGGGCGCGCTATACCTGGCCATGCTACTCACTCGTTACAGTCGAACTCTGTCCTTACAAGTGTATATAATCCAACCATCCAGCGATGCTAAGGCTCATCAACTTTACGTTATCACCCAGGTCTGTGGCGTCCACTTTGACATCCTTACTAGTAGGGCCCATCGTACGCAGATGCTCCTTCAATTCCTCCCAGGTGTGGCCTGAAGGGGACCAGTAGTGGTGGCGATACGTCAACTGCCACACACCTCCCACTATGTTGAATGCCGCAACACGGCCAGTGTAGCACCTGCCATACCACTCCTCGGCCACATCATCCCCAGCACTACCAGCATCACGACTCACTCACTCATCTCACTGTCCGCTCCTCCCACCACCAGAAGGCAGATCTCTATCTGCTCAGCAGTCGAGGAAGGGCTCTAACACCAAGTGAACTTAATTGGAGATTTCCATATTACCTTCATGAATAGCAAGGCTCGGGTATTAGCAGTGGGTGTGATATCACAGTAAGGAAACGATAGGATCTCCTCTTGGTCACTTCTCGACATTAGTAAGTATATAACAGTGTACTGCCATCACAACACGAACGA